CCGTGGGTGTCATCGCTGTTGAGACCCGCACTGTGGAGGTGACAATACCTGCTGACCCTGCCAACCTGGACTCGGAGGCAAAGGTGAGGTACAAAGGGGTACAGCTGGGGCCAGGTGGCATCTGAGAGGCTGGAGGGGAGGGAGGAGGAATAGCTCAGTGTGATTCTTGGGCATGTCTTGATTTTCCTTGATTCAGGTGAAATCAAGGGTGCTGGGGCAGTTTGTTTTCTTCCAGCTGTTTCATGTGGCATGCCAGGAAGAGCTGGCACACTCTCAGCTGCTCACTGTCTTTTCCAGATAATCCAGCAGGCTGGACAGGTCTGGTTCCCAGACTCTGCTTTTAAAACAGCCCAGGCCATTCGGGACTTCAACCGGGAACACCTCCCGCTGATGATCTTTGCCAACTGGAGAGGCTTCTCCAGTGGCATGAAAGGTACCTGTGCTTGGGATGCCCATATTCCCATGGTGTGACAAACCTCTGTCACCCCTGCCATGCCACAGGGTCCTGGGATGGCCCAGCCTACCAGGGTATGCACCACTCTGGGATGTGGGGTTGGGTCGGGCTGGGGAGGTCATGTGGCACTGCAGGGCAGAGGTCCCAGGGGTTGGTGGCTTCCTGGTGGCTGTTTTTGCAGGATGGGAGGAGGCTGGGGCAGTGGCAGCTGGGACACCCAGCCCCTGAGTCCCTTTGGCTTTCAGACATGTACGACCAGATGCTGAAGTTTGGCGCCTTCATCGTGGACAGCCTGCGGGACTTCAAGCAGCCTGTCCTGGTGTACATTCCCCCTCACGCGGAGCTGCGCGGCGGCTCCTGGGTGGTCATCGACTCCACCATCAACCCCCTGCACGTGGAGCTCTACGCCGACAAGGAGAGCAGGTCAGCATCCAGAACACCTGTGTGTGTCATCCAAAATACCTGTGTGTGTCAGCTGCCTGGACAGCTTGTCCTAGGATTTATTCTCCTGTGCAGACCAGTCCTTGCTTTACCAAACTTCCCTTCCAGGGGAGGCATTTTGGAGCCTGGAGGAACAGTAGAGATCAAGTTCAGGAAGAAAGATTTGGTGAAGACAATGAGAAGGATTGATAAAGTTTATGCTGAGCTTGTTGAACAGCTGGGTAAGGAAAGGGAGTTTTGGGTAGTGGGAAGTTAAACATGAAGCTCAAGTTGGTGGCAACCACCAGGAGCCCTTTAGTGTCCTTCTGGGAAAACTCTTTACATCTTTTCTGTTGGTGGAGCTGAGAGGATGTGGTGGTACTTTAGAACACCTGGGTGCTCTGTCAATGGGTTAAATGGGTCTTCTCCCATGCTTTGAGATGAAGGATGGCCATGGCCACATTAAATTGGCTCCTGATGCATTAGGAGCTCCTTGCCCCCCTGTCCCTCCAGCCTGCTATAACATCCCACAAAGTCCTTGCAAATGCCACTTGCCCTCTCATGTGGCGGGCACTGAGTGTGGTGTGGCCTCTTTGTGGCCATCCTTTGTGTGGCTGTGGTGTCAGCGTGCCAATGAAGGAGCCGTGTCACTGAGCGTGGGGGCTGATGTGGGAGCACAGAGGGGACATCCTGGTGGCATCACCGGCCGGGCTGCTCATCCCGCTGTGTCCCACAGGGACCCCCGAGCTGTCGGCGGCGCAGCGCAAGCAGCTGGAGAAGCAGCTGAAGGCGCGGGAGGAGCTGCTGCTGCCCGTGTACCACCAGGTGGCCGTGCGCTTCGCAGACCTGCACGACACCCCGGGCCGCATGCAGGAGAAAGGGGTGATCACGGTGAGCCGCACAGGGTAGGGGCTCTCAGCTGACAGGCCGAGGTGGGGGGAAGTCACTTCCCTGTGACATCCCTGCTGCTCTCTGCCCTCCATCCCGCCGGAGCTGGGAGCGAGCGGGATGTGCTCCGCTTTCCGCAGGACATCCTGGAGTGGAAAAGCGCCCGCTCCTTCCTCTACTGGAGGCTGCGGCGGCTGCTGCTGGAGGAGATGGTGAAGGGGGAGGTGCTGAAGGCCAACAGCGAGCTCAGCCACATCCACATCCAGTCCATGCTGCGGCGCTGGTTCATGGAGACGGAAGGAGCTGAGAAGGTACCCCCAGCCCCGGCTTCCTGAGGCACCTCCACAGCCAGGGCATCCCGAGGGATCTCCATCGTTCTCCCATCATTCGGAGGTTTCAGTGGTGCCTCCCTGAGGGTTTCAGTGTGTAATGGGAATGTGTGTTGGGATGGGGAGTGAAGCAGCACCGGGCTGGCTTTTCAAATCAGATGACCCCAGTTGGGTGCTGGTGCTCAGCAATGGCAAAGCGGTCCCCAAATAAACACTTCCCACCATGACAGGGCTTCCCAGGGCAAAAGTGGGGTCTTTAGCATTTGAGCTGCTGTCAGGTGACACACACATTGCTGTGCCTGCCTCAGGAAGCAGGACCTGCAAAGGAACTGTGTTTTACTCTTTTGCATTTTAAATCATTTGTAAATGTTTCCTGCATTTCAGTTTCCAGACTGAACCTTTAACCTCAACATGGGGTAGAGTGCTGTGCCATAGGGGCAGGACTGGGAAGAAAAGTCCCATCTCCTGGATTTGAGGCTCCAGGAGGAAGAGGGGGCTCGGGCTGTGCAGGCAGCAGGATCCCCTGCCCACAATGCTGCTTTCTCCAGGGCTACCTCTGGGACAACAACCAGGTGGTGGTGGAGTGGCTGGAGAAGCACATGCAGGAGGAGGACGGCACCCAGTCGGCCATCAGGGAGAACATCAAGTACCTGAAGCGGGACTACATCCTCAAGCACATCCGGAGGTGAGTGCCTGTGGGAGCTGGGATGAGAAAAGGGATCCCAGAGATGGGAGCAGCAGGTGGTGGGAGACCAGGCAGTTCTCACTTTGGCCTCTCAGGAATCCGCTCTCTGCCTTGCAGCTTGCTCCAGGCCAACCCCGAGCTGACCATGGACTGCGTCGTGCAGATGGCTCAGCACATCACCGGGCCACAGAAGGCCCAGGTTGCCCATCTCCTGTCCAGGGTGGACACTGATGACCCCTCCTGAGCTGGGCAATCACCACAGGGTAGGAGAAGCACCAGGACACGACCAGACCTCACCTGCCCACCTGGTTCCTCAGCCCTTGAACTGAAGCCTTGGACTCTTGCTCATGTGCCTAAATAAAGGACACCAGCGCTTTGAAGTATTTTAAACAATGGAGATGGTCTTGCCATCCATGCAGAGTCCCCTCTGGCACTGGGAGTGCTGCCAGAGGGGCAGCTTTGGGAAATTATGAACTTGTCTCAAGCCAAGCCTGGAATCTGGACCTGGTACAGAACTTGGTTTTAAAAAAAATCCAAAATATTTTCCTGGTTTAGTTGCCATCCCTGGCCTTGGTCTTTCAAACAAACACCAGGTCAGACACATCTCATGAGACTGGACAGAGCTGGAGGCACAGACCCCCTGGCCAGGGCTGGTGTCCAGCTGGCTGGGTGCAAGCTGACCAAGACCAGGAAATGAGAAGCAGCCTCCAAGTGATGCTTTATAAACAATTTCTGTCATCCTTCCCCTCGCTGCAAGGCAAAGAGTAGATGCGGCCATGAGTAGCTGATGGCCCAGGAAAGATCTAAGTGACTTAATTTGGGAGCTGCTCCTGTGGGAATGTCCAAGGATCCACCAGGGTTTGGCTGACCTGACTGTTCCTCTCGCCCATCTCGTGTCCTTTCTGCTTCTGCAGAGAATGGAGAGGAGGGAGGATGGCTCCAGTTGCTCCTGCCCCAGTGACCTGGTTCCTTCTCGGAAGCACCAGAGCCAGGGGGAGCTGTCACCTGCTCAGACCTGTACCCTGCTGCTCAGGTAGCCTTTGATCATCTTGGTCATGGAGGGGAAATTGGAAGTTTTCCAGTACCTCTGTCTGTGTCATTTCCCCAGCACAGATTTACCTTGGGCTCAAAGGGAGGAGGTGGGATGGCAATGGAAGGTGGGACACCTGGCTCAAGTGCAGTGCTGGTATTGCCCTGGGGTGAAGGTGTTGGACACCTCCTGGGACTGGGTTGGGGGATCCCACAGAATCTGTGGGAGGTCTCCCTGTCCTGGGGTGGGGATGGGAAGGGTCCTGTGAGTCACTTCCTGGCTGGAAAGTGTCACTGCTGACAGGCAATAAAGGGAACTCCCTGCCCTCTGTGTCTTCTGTTCTGAGCAGGGTTTGGTGTCTCTGGCACTGGGCAGCCCCTTCCCTGTGGCATGGGACCTGTTTGGGGTGGGGCAGCTTTGAGCATCCCTCCTGCCAGCCCCTGTCTCCCCTCCAGAGCTTTTCCAGGCATTTCAGAGGGTTTCAGGAACAGGGTGACACCACAGAGGAGGAACTCTTACAGTAAATACCTGCAAACTCTTACTCTCCTGGAGGATTTGAGCCAAGGATCCACTTTCAACTTGGCCACAGGGTCTGTAAAAGGAATGAAGGCTGGGGAAGCCCAGCCTGACACCAGAGCAGGCAGCACAGCACACAGCACATCCAGAATGCCCCAGGTGTAGTGCTAAGAAATGTTTATTTAAAAAAAGCAAAGACATCATAGGTGACACCAGTCACAGCAAAGGATCATTCATCACATGTGTCCTTGGACAATAAATTATGACGTGGAGCATCAGGGTGCCCTTTGGAAGAGGTTGCCATGGAGGGATGTGCTGGGAGGATACAGGCACAGATGTTTCCAAGCCCCTGATCTTCATATTTTCAAGCAAGAAAGTGCCCTTTGGGGCCACTCCAGCATCCTGCACCCTCCAGCTTTAATCCATGGATGGGTGTGGGAGAGAAAAGCCTGGGAGCACCTGGATACAGCACCAGGAAAGTCTCTGAATGCACAGGAACAGACAAAACCCAAGATATAAATATCACTTTTTGCTCACAGAGGTATAAGTAGACTAAATGCTAAATTCCAACATACTTCAGATGTTTCAGCTCATTATTTGCAATGTATGTTAACAAGTACAAAGCAGGGTATGAAAAATTTTTTTAAAAGCTACATTAAAATCAGGTTTTTTTAGTTAATTAGCAAAGACTATTATGAAAGGTACAGTGACAATATTTGGTCTCTGAATTTTTTAAAAAGCATGAGTTTCACAGTATCAAAAGTGCTTATTAAGGAAATGTAGTGTAAAAACTGTGATAAGATGGTTGTGGTTCTGATGAATAATTTAGTGGTTGTAAAACAGGTTACTGCAGCATTATACAAATTGAACAGTGCTCAGTTCACATAATTTCTTTTCATAACAATAAATATAAATAAATTTACAAATAGTAATACTGCCTAGCACAAGAATAGACAGAAGCACAATACACAAGACTATAAACCAATCTATTTTTTTAAAAAATCCTAAAAATCGGCATAATTCCTAAAATCCTCTAGCCAGTGATCAGTTTAATAGTTCAGTAGTACCACTTCCTTCAGGGGTGAGGACTTTTACAAATCTAGATATAACAGTGATCTGCTAGGGAGGTGAGTTTTCCTTTTTTAGTGGTTTTGCTCCTTTTTTTCTACCTCCTAACAATAAATTAACAACAGTTACGTCAGAAAAGTGTTAGTGGTGCAAATGTCTCCAGGAACTGGGGGAGGTCTTTGTCCAATTTGGCACATTAAGTAAAAATTACACACCAGGGGCACAATCAACCAACTTGGGGCTGGCCAGCCCCTTGTCTTGTGGTGGCTTCTGTGACAGTGGTGACACAGCAGCTGCACCATGGTGTGGAATAAATTTAATTCCCTTAACTGAGTGATTTTTAGCTCAGTTACATTCCAGTGAAAGTTCCTGCTTCCTTCCAGCTCCTTCTGGAGAGCTCCCCAGTCCCACAACACAAGTGTCCATGCCCTTGCCGTGGGGGAAAGTGGTTCTACCAAGTCCCAGCTTGATTTATTTTGGCCTCACACGCTGGAAGCAGCCAACACATCCCAAAGCAGGACGAGCTCTTGGAGCTTCCCGGTCGGATTTTAACCGCGGGGAAGAACTGTCCCTCGGGGTCCGTGGAACAGGGCCAAGCTCAGAGCAGAGGGATGGGTTTGTTGCCTTGGGGGTTCATGTACTGAGCAGCTGCCACATTGTCCAGGGTGGTGTAGGTGGTGTAAAGGCCAGTGACCTGCAGGTCGGAGAAGGAGCGGTCGCTGCCGCTGGACACGGGCGTGAGGCCGGGCGTGCCCAGCTCGCAGTCGGAGAGATGCAGGGGGGAGTTGCTGAAGGCACCCAGGGTGTCCAGGCTGAAGCTGTCGTCTTTCATCTCTTCCCAAATGTTCCCTGGAAAAAGATGGAATCCTGCTCACAGCAGCACACCCCCAGCCCCCAGGGCCAGGACTAAAGGGCTTCATTCAAGGGTGGGACCACAGTGGTGCAAGGGGCAGCAAGTCTGATCCCCCAAACCCTGGGATTCCAGACCTTTCTGGGCAGCAAGTCTGATCCCCCAAACCCTGGGATTCCAGACCTTTCTGGGCAAGTCTGATCCCCCAAACCCTGGGATTCCAGACCTTTCTGGGCAGCAAGTCTGATCCCCCAAACCCTGGGATTCCAGACCTTTCCAGACAGCTCCTCTCTGCCTGTGCTCTACCCAGGACCACATCAGGCATCGCCACAAACCAGGGAAGTTCTACTTGCACAGAAGGAGAACCCCAAAGCACGAGCAGAGCTCTGTTTCCTCGGGGGCAGAGATGTGGTGTCCCAGATCCAGCTGGTTGGACACCCCTGCTTCCACCCCCTGCAGTGCCTGCACTGGAGCCAGGAAGGAGCTTTGCTGTCCCACCTGGCACAGGGACAAAATCCACAGAAGGTGACCCAGGAAGTCACCCTGCAGATGCCAACACCCAGCACCAGTTCTTAGAGCCCCAGAGCATCCCACTGAAGACCCTGGCTGGATGTTCAGCAATGAACAGCCACAAAGCCCAGCTCTGCCCTCCCCCAGTGCCTTCCCCCGTACCTTGCAGTGCGAAATCCATAATGCTTGGATCCAGAGCGTCCACCTCCGTGCTCATGTCCACCGCCACGTTCGGGAAGTCCGGGGCGCGTCCCATGGGATGGTGGGGCAGGGGGCTGTGGCTCATGTCAGGCAGGGTGTGCAGAGGAGGCGTTTGTGCAGGGGCTGGCGAGTTGGGGGCGAGGCGAGCCTGGGTCTGGAGCTGGTGGTGCAGGGGCAGGGACTGCAGGGACAGCGTCATGATGGGCTGGGGCTGGAGCTGGGACACGGAGATCCGGCCCAGGGGGGGCCCCTCGGGCTCTGCCTGCTTGTTGGGCCGCCTGCAGCTCTCAGGTCTGTCAGTGATCAGCTTGTCCAGCTCCTCTGCCCGTTCCAAGGAGGAAAAGAGATGCTTTCACCCATTTGTTCAAGCATGGACTGCCTGAAGCACAGCCACATTTATGCCATGAGCTGAGTGGCACCGTGTGAGACCCAGCACCGGCTGTGACCGTGCAGGGAGCAAAGAAATGCCACCCAATTGCTTCCCCAAATCCACTTCCATGGTTATCCCTGACTGATCATGAAACTGCAGGGCAGCCCAGCTACCCCTGATGGCAGCTCACCCCCAGCTGCACAACTCTGTGCTCAGAAAAACACTCAGAACTCTGCTTATCTCCCAAATAATTACAAAAAACCTCCTATTTCAGTGGCCCTTTTGCTTATAAACAAATTATATGTAATTTATCACTGCCTGCATGTTATTGATTTTGTAGCAAAAAAAAAAAACTCCAGCTGATTTTATCAATACTAAGCTCCTGAAAGCTTAGAAAACATGTTTCTTTATAAATAAGAAATTTTGTAAATGGGGGGGGAAATGATAAATAAATAATATATAAATATAAATAAATATATCACATACATAATATTTATAATGATAGTACAAATAATATTAAATCCTATTTTACACGTAAGACAATGTCTTAGGACAGGGAGAGTTTTGCAGAAGAACAGGCAAGAAACAGCACTAAAATGCTTCTCTGTGAAAATATGTCTTGATATTAAAATGTTCCCACAAACAACAACCCCGGAGGCAGCGGAGCCGTGCAGGGAACACCAAGGATGTGCAGGATGGGGATGTGGGACACCAGCCCTACCTGGGTTAGCCATGCTCCTGTGAATAGCAGCCAAATCCTTCCTCTTCCACTTCTGCATCTCCTCCTCCATCTTGTCGATCTTGGCGGGGTTGAGGGCCCACAGGCAGCCCTTGCGGGAGGTCCCGCTCAGTTTGTTCTCCACCTTCTCAAAGCACTTGTTCAGGGACAGGTTGTGGCGCACGGAATTCTTCCACCCGTCAGGGGCTGTCTGCAAGGGGCAGGAAGGGGTTAATGGAAGCAGCCACGGGAGGGGGAAAAGGGGCTGGAATGTGGCTGCTTCCAAGCTCGGGAATGCTCAGTACCTTGAAGTAAGGGAAGTGCTCCTTCATGAAGCTGTAGATCTCGCTCACGGGCAGGCTCCCGGTCTTGCTGTTCTTCAGCGCCATGGCGATCAAACAGCTGCGGGCAGGGAAACCCGGGAATGGCTTGGCTGGGAAAGGATCTTAAAGCCCATCCAGTTCCACCCCCTGCCACCTTCCACTGTCCCAGGTTGCTCCAAGCCATGTCCTACCTGGCCTTTGGACACTTGCACAGCTTCTCAGGGCAACCTCGCCACCCTCACAGGGAGGAATTCCCACCCAATATCCCATCCAACCCTGCCCTCTGGAAGTGGGAACTCACTCCTCCTGTCCTGTCACTCCATCCTTTCTTCTGGTCTAGCAACCTTGGACTCACCTCTTCAGACACAAACAGCTGGGACCCAGGGATTTCTGTTCCCAAGGGCTCAGAAGTCACAGAATTGCAGGATAAGTTGATTTAGAAGGGACCCACAAAGATCACTGAGTTCAACTCCTGACCCTGCACAGCACCATCCCCAAGAGTCACACCACATTCCCAAAAGGATTGTCCAAACCCTTCTTCTTGGGCTCTGCCAGGCCTGGTGACCATTTCCCTGTGATCCTCAGATCCTCAGACTTTACTCCTCTGTGCTGTTACTCCCCCACTATGCTGCTCCCCAGGAATTCACCTGTTCACTCCTGCTACCCCCCTCAGAGGCAGCTTCCACAGAACCCCTGCATGGATGAGGGGATTTTTGTTCCCTTCCAAAGGACTCAGCCACCCCTGCAGTGTCACAGCCATGCCAGGACAGGCTGTAGGCAACTTCCCGCTCCCCACTCACCTGTAGGAATAGATGGGCTTGGGATAATGCTTTGGATGCAGCTCCTGGGCAGACTGGGGAGCCAGGCGTGGCTGGGAATAGTGTGGCTGTGCCCCATAGGATGTGTTGTAGATTGCTGCTGGGTTACACTGCGTGCAGAGGGAAAAAGAAAGGAAATGTTGGATGTAAAATGTCCGTGGGTGTGTAGCTCTAGGGACATTTTGGGTTGTATTTTTTTTTAAAGACGTCTTGATTTGATCTTGTCAGGCACTTCAAGACAGACAACAAGCACATACCAGTACCTGCTGGGGGTTCTGGGCCAGTGCAAACACCTGCTGGGAGTGAGGAGGAGGAGGAGGAGGAGGAGGAGGGAAGAGCTGTTGCTGTGTTTGCAAACCAGGGGACAGTTGCCCACCCACGGCGTAGGGGCTCATCTGCCGAGAGAAACACAACAGTCAAGGAATCCCCAACACCTTGTCCCAGGAGCTGGGGCAGTAACGAGCCATCAAGGGCTGCTCTTACTTTGGCTCCGTGTGTTGAAATGGAATTGAGGCCCAGGATTCCCTGTGGGAGACTGGCCTGGACGTGGATCATTGCTCCGGGTGTCGAGTGCATCGTGCTCCCCACAGCACCTGGCGTGGAGAGAGAGGAAGGCAAGGAATGCTCCGGTGGAAGCACAGCTCAGGGAAGGGGTTAATAAATGCAGCTGTGAGCACAGGGAAGCTCTGGAGTGGAGAATCCAACCTCTCTGGCTTTCCATCCCCAGAGCATTTCACAGCTTGCCCAGATGACATCAGCTGCTCCCAAAACTCGTTAGGCAGGGAATGAGAGGCGGCAGCTGCTTAACAGCCCACGGTGGGGACACAGACACGGAGTCTTACAAAAGAGAAAGAACACATTCAGCATTAGCTGGATTTGTGCTCTCAGGCAGGCAGGGTGACACGCTGAGCTCTCCCTGTGGAATGCCACAGGGAATGGTGTGTGTTTGCCTAAAGGATGTTCACAAAAGAGAGAAAGGAGTTCAACCAACACACGCTGCAAGGCTGCAGGAAGCAAAGAGGTGCGAGGTGAATGAGGTGCCCTTGCTTTTATCCGTGTTGAAACAAAGCAGAAAGATTAATTATCTAATTTCCTAATTTCAGAGCCGTTGGAAACCTCTGAAAACTCGGGACTTAAAACACCTCAGCCCAACAAGGCACCAGCAGCTGCAAAAACGAGCAGAAATTCCCATGGGATCTGAGTGTTGCCAGTGCTAGAGCTCTCTCCCTCTTGGAATGAGGGGAAGGCACTGGCAGAGCCCTCATGAGAAGCCAACAGGCTCCAGCTCTTTGGACAGGAAGGAAAATGTAAAAGAATAAGCAAAGGGAGCCTGATGGGGGAGTGGTGGGGGCAGGTTGTGCTGTTCAAGGAGCAGTTATTCCCTATTCCCATTTCCCATCCCAGCAGTACCTGTCTGCTGGAGCATGGCGTTCTGGGCCCCCAGGCTGAAATCCATCCTCCCACTGGCCATCTGTTGGAGCCGAGGCACATCCACGGATGTCAGCCAGGACAGGGACTGCAAATCCCCCGGGAGCTCATCCTCGCTCAGCTGGGACGGGTCTGAAGCCAGGAGCCTGCCAAGCAGCAGGGAAGGTTAACAGGGAGCAGGGATGGGGCTGCATTATCCCTGGAAAGAGATGGCTGGGATGCCAAAGCTCCTGTAGGTCAGTGGGAAAAAGCTGGAATTCTGTATCCAAATCCAGATGTGCCCTGCGGTTTCACAGCTGGTTACCGACACCCTTTACCTGGTCTTGTGTTCCTTTCTCCAGTTGGAAACATTTTGGTTAAGAAAACCTCTTTTGGAGCGTTTATAGGAGAAGAAGGCCCAGGAACCCAGCAGAGAAAACACGTGGAAATGAACCCAAGTGATTCCTTATTTTCACATCTGTCAGAAATTTGCATTTGTTTGGCTTTGATGGGGAACAAACCAGGACTTTGAACCTGATGATTCTGTATTAACCCTGCAATCCAGAGCCTTGGAAGGAGCTCTGTGCCCAGCTCCTGGAACACCTGGAAAAGCTTTTCCCAGCCTCTGGATCCTGTCAGAGGTGACAGATCAGCAGCTGCATGAAAAGAACTTCACAGACTGAACTGCTCATATATTCCATTCAGATACATGAAGTTATTGATACTTAAAAAACCATTTTTTAGGCAGGTTTTTGACAGAGTAAAGGATCAGAGTGAAAGGTTTGGGACTGGAGGAGCTGTATCTGCCAGGCACCAGCAACAACAGCAGGCACAGCTGTGACAGGCTGCTTTTGGTTTAAAGCTCTGCTTTTGACACCTTTTATATGCTCCAGATCACCTGTTTTGCTTTGCTTCTGATACAGCATGTGGTACAAAACGGGAATATTGGAATATATTTACAGCACTCAAAAATTCCTGTGTGGTCCAAGCTCCCCGTTGAAGTCAGTAAAAGAACTCTTGCAAATGAAAGGCCAAATGAATCAATTTATGTGAAACACTGTTACAGGAGTCACTGGTACCTCGAGGAGTAAAGCAGTAATTAGGACATGTCGGGAAGTTGTCATTCAACACCCAGGGTAAACCTAAAGGGACTCAGATCCAGGAAAACATCTTTGTCTCTCAGAAGAGCATAACTTAGTTGGATGCAGTTGATTTTGCTTTCAAACCCTTTTGCTTTCAAGAGCTCTCTGAGATGTGTTAAAGTGGTGTTTGCTGCCAAGTGATGCTGCAGAAACCCTAAATAAATCTGTTCTCTTGCTGATGCATCTTTTATGTTTTACACGACTCTAAATCAGCTTAAAAGAACAAGGCAGAATTCCAGTGCCTGCCTGCCCTGGAGCTTTCAGCTCCTCTATTCAGGAATTCCAGAAACACCTATCAAAGCTCCCTGAACCACTGTCGGGGAGATCTTTAAAGCAAAACGCCATTTGTTTGCAAAAAGATTTTGTAAAGAAGAAAAGGGGGGGGGGGGAAAAATAAAAATAATCAACACAGGACCAAGAGCCAAAAGCTCAAACCCTGGCAAAAAAAAAAAAAAACACCAAAAAACCAAACCCCTCTTCAAATCTCCCTCGCAGCTTACCCCGTGTTCTCTCTCCTACTGTAGTTACAGGGCAATAATTAGCATTGCCATGGTTACGCCGTTATTTCGCGAAGCCTGGGGACTTCAACCCATTAAAAAAAAAAAAGAAAAAAAAAAGCAAAAAAAAAAAAAAAGCAAAGCCCATCAGGTGACGGCTCTCCCGGCTCGGAGATTGGCTGGATTGGAAGAAAACAGGGGCACGGGATGATTTGAAAACCGGGCAGGCTCGGGGGTCGTTTGCAACAGTTGGTTGCGTTGGGGGGGAGCCGCCGGCCCTTTGTGCGCCCAACGCCCGCGGCACGTGGCCCCCATTGTCTTTGGGGACCCCGCTTAATTGTCCTGCCCGCTGCTTTTGACAAACCTCCCATTAATCTGCCCGAGTGACAGGCGACACACAACACACGTCCCCCTCGCCATCTGGCACCCCGCGCCCTGCCAGCGCCGCCCGGGCGGGGTCAGCGCCCACCGCGCTCCGCACACTCCCGGCTCTGCCCTTCCCTTCCTTTCCTTTCCCTTCCCTTCCCTTCCCTTCCCTTCCCGGGCCGCATTCCCGGACAACGGCGGCTCCTTCCTCGCCCTCACCCGGGATGCACCCAGCCCCCGACAGCCCCGGAGGCCGTGGGAAGGTGGAACTGCTCAGCATCCGCTCTAGGGACACAGGCAGGGGCGAGGAAAGGGGCTGGGATCAACTGAAAAATTGCTGTCGCTGTCATAAGGTTCTGTTTTAAACAGATAGGAAGGTGCAATCATATTTAATAACTAGGCAAGCGTGCAAGACGGCTCTTCCTCCAACCCAAAGGCTTTCCCTTCCCTTCCCTTCCCTTCCCTTCCCTTCCCTTGCCTTCCCTTCCCTTCCCTTCCCTTCCCTTCCCTTCCCACACTTCTTTTAAAACCACCTCAGCCTGTTCAGAACATTTTTTTTAAATGGATTTCTTAGTTATCAGCTTAGCATTCTGTTAAAAATGGGGGAGGAAGCAAATTCAATCAGCATTACATCCCTGCCTGTGGCAGAGGGTTGAAACAAGATATTTAAGGTCCCTTCCAACCCAAACCATTCTGGGATTCTGCAGTTCCATGATTTGATGATTCTGTGATTCCATGATTTGATAATTCTATGTTTCCATGATTTCAAGTTTAAGGATTATCCTTCAGGAGGTCTTCAAAACCAATGTTGAGTTCTCTCATGTCTTAAAGAAGGTGAAATTTTAAAGAATTCCCATTTCTGCCTGGCTGAGGAGTTTTAAAAGCTCGGGGATATCCTGTAGCATAAACCCAGCACATCTCCCAGGCCACAGGCTCAACGTGTGCCCTGCTTTCAGTGAGGAAATTCTAATTAAACTGCAAAAAAAAGAGAGAGCCAAGCACAGGAATGACCAACATGGTCATCTCCTGGGGGGTTCAATCTTCCTGACCCGAAAATTACCTGTGCCAAGAGAGCTGCAGGTCCGTAAGTACCTGCTGGAATACCAGGTGGGATTGGATTCTGTTCCCCACCACCACCCTGCTCATGTCACATTGGAGGACAAACTCCAGGAGGACAAACTCCAGGAGGACAAACTCCAGGAGTCAGAGCTCCTGCCTTTGGCTGGGTGTTCACAGCCCCTGGCACAATGGGGCACTGCGGTAAAAGCAGCCTTTCAGTGCATGTAAATGAGAGAAATAGCGATAGGCTGTAATTAATGCACTGCTGAGCCTCCCCTGCTCATTCCCAGGGCTCCTGGAACAGCCTCGGAGCTGCTGAGCCCCGGGAAGGGGAGGAGGATGCAGTCCCACCGAACTGTTGCAAACGGGGTGTGGTGAAATGATGCAGCTCCACTTTTACCCCCTCTACTTTCAACTCTCTGCAGGAAAACACCCCCTGCCTTTCCCTCCTAGAAAGGATGAGAATCCAGAGGGGGCTGAGGATTTAAACCCCGGTTCTCCTGAGTATCCCAGGATGCTGATCCACAGATCCTCACTGGGTGTGATACAGAAATGCTCCATGGCACTGTTAGTCTTTACAATCTGCTCCGGAGTTATCTGCCCAAAATATTCATCCCCTCGGGGTAATGCTGGATCAGGAACACCTTGGAATGAGATCCTTTTCCAGATCTGATGCTGGGCTCACCTGGCAAAGTTCACCAGAGCCTGCCAGCAGCACAAAATCCTCACTCACAGCCACCTAAAGGTATTTTACCTTTTTCTCCCCACCATCAAGAGCATCCTACTGGCACAAGATGGAATTGGAGTCATTCCTGGCCTGACCTTGCAGGAATTTAACACCAGAGCTGGATCTGAGTCTGTCCTCACCAGTGGGACTTTGCCACCATCCCTCAGGCTGAGCTGATGGAGGGAGCTGGATCTAAGGTGGTTCCTCACCTCAGGAGCCGCTTCCAGGGGAGCTATCCATGAATTATCCACCTCCACATTGCATGGATGGTGAACCCATGCCTGGAGACTCTAAGGACCATCTCAACCATCACCTCCATGTGCAACAAAGCCAGGCCCAAACCCTGCAGCTGCATTTGGGATGTTCCACAGTTTTAAGTCTCACTCAATGGACAGGATTTTTTCCCCATTTCCAGCACTGCCACCTGAATTTTTAGCCCAGGCTTAGGTGACACAACTGCTCAACGGGCAGGAGCAATTGCAAATTGCAAAAATTGCAAAAAGCAATTTCTTAATTAGCTGTTTGCAATGGTTTATCCAGTGAGAAACAACTGGGCAGGGAGAGAAAACCTCTTCTAGGAGTGTTTTCCTTTGTCTGGGGTTACACAAAAAGCTCAGGACAAGCACAGAGAGTTCTGATATTCAAGGAAAAGATTTTCACTGTGACTCTCCAGCTGTGTCCATGGTGAGAAGTGTCCTCTGTTTTTCTGAAGGATTCAGCTTCCCCATCTCCTTTAGCTCCTCATTCCAGCTGCTCTGCTCCTTCCCTTTGAGCCCTTCCCATTTTCCTGCCTCCCAGGTGCTTTTCCCCCCACTATTTTCTGGTTTCCATACTCACAACCAACTACCCCTTTCAACTCCTTCCTGCCCCAGCTCCTCTCCTGGCTCTGCCCAGCAGCTCCCACAGATTTTGGTCAGTGATTCCTCCCTCAAGGCACAACACACACCCAGCCCTGAACCATCATCCCACCCCTCTCCCCGTCTTCAAGGTCTCTGAGTTATTTCTGCCCTTGCTGGAGATCAGAACAGAAATTAAGCAGCTTTCCAGGGACAAAGGGAATCCCTCCTTATCTATAACTCAACAAGCATTGCATTATCAGAACCAAAACCGGTAAGGAAAAAGCAAATAACATCATTAACCTGGCAGGTGGTGATGGTCTCCTTTCCTTGCACCGTACTGGACTCTCCAAAAATCCCCTGCAAAGGTACTTGGCACTAAGAACAGGCTACAGCTGCGCTCCTGGAGCCTTTTATCCATCCCAGCTCCACATTTCACAACCCCCATTACACCAGTTCGCTGTGGGATCAGTAGAAACTGGATTACAGTGAAATGTGTAATGCTCAAAGCTGAGAGGAAACGAGAGGTGATGGCAGCACTGCACCCCCAGCCACTCATTCCTTGCTCTGCTCTAACCATCCCTAGGCTGGGATTTGCCAAATGCAGCTGGAATCTGACTCTGGAACCCGTTTGGTAAAACATCCCAAACCAAACAATGCAAAAATCAGACCTTTGACCGATGTCAGAGCAAGCAAAATGTGTTGGAAGTACCAGGCACTACAGGAATGTTTTACATTAAAACCAGACCATGGTCTGACTGGGAAGCTACATTTTCCTTGGAAATCGCTGTTCATTAGCACTGGAGCCCTGTGCAGGTGGCAGTGCAGGGTAAAGGGAATATCAACTCTACAGCCTGGCCCTGGGCAGGGCTGGCAGAACCCCCTGGGTCGCTGCTCGGCTTCCTGCACTTGTCAGTGGGAGCAATGAGCCTCTGAGATCCCCCAGGAGTGCTGGAAAAGTCCCAATTCCCCTTCTCTTCCCCTGTTTTGGCCAAGCACCGTTTCTGAGGTAAGGGATGAGCCCGTTCTGGTCTCACAGGACCCCGAGGTGCTGCCCCAAACCATCCCCACCGTCACCGCGGGGCTTGGCGAGAAACAAAAGGCCACAAATTTTTATTCCCCCAGATCAGCACATTTCAGGAGTGCCGAGGAAACAGTTGTGCTAATCCACTTAAATCAATCCAGTTTGACTGATTCCTTGGAGGTTTCTCACTTCTTTTTTTTTTTTTTGGGGGGGAAGAATGAAGCAGCTCCCGTGCTGGAATTCCTGCGGCACTCGGAGTCATTATCTCACTCCCTGTCAGACACGCACGGGAACGTCACGGGAATGGACACTGGCATTTTCTCCAGGAACAATTAGGGTGTTGTTAGTGATGCATTTGTGACCTTTTGTGTGCACACTCCCATCCATCCATCCATCCATCCATCCATCCATCCCAGGGGACAGAGGTGTCACTTCCTCTCCAGAAACCCCAGATAGGAGAGCACAACTTAAAGCTAAAATGTGCTCAAATTAGAGATTTGTCATCTTTTTTCCCCACTGGAATGCTGTCACGTCTGGAATTTATGGAGTACAGCAGTCCTGTGCTTCTTAATCTGATTTTACACTAAACTGTGGCAACATAAAGTAATTATGGCAAAAAAATGATCAGACTAATGAGCTAATGAATATAGACAACTTTTTAAGAATCAAGGAGATGATTAAAATGGGGTAAAGGATAGTATAATCCACTAATATATTGAATTATTAATGATTAACACCTTTTGATCGAAAATGGGTCTGTTTAAAGCTTAATTCCTGTTTAACATATAGAAAATGCATCTCAAGGCCTTCAAAATGCTCCACGTGGCTTCTGTCAACTGGAAATACATAATAACATAAAAAAATAGAAATGTGGTCCTTACACCAAATATTGTTGGATCAGATCTTAAAATCAAAACAACAGATTCCATATTTCAATTCAAAATATTGCTTGAAGCACCCAGGAGCTGAAGAACCTGGATTCCCAAGAATCAGCCCATAAATTCCATGGGAAAAGGCTGGAGCTGGCTCCTATAACTTGCAGAGCTCTGTGCTAAAACAACCACGAGCCACCACTGTATAAAAAAACCTTCTGGTCTGCCTGTGCTGTGATTTAAAATCAAAATGCTGGCACTAAAACGTGTTAAATTATTCATTACTATTAACAAGGATGAAGTGCTAAGGGTTAAAAAATCCCAGCGTGTTACAATTCTCCACTTTCATTCTCTTAAATGTGATATGGACTCATTGGAAATATTTGTCAACCCTACAAGGATGAATATATTGAATATGGTGATGTTTTCTGTAGGAAACTAAGAGAGGCAGCTGCTAAAATAAAGGATTAATTTGTATTGCAGGCAGACAGTGACAGAGCCATAAAAACAGGCAGTGGAGGAGATCTGATGGCCCTTGATCATCCCTGTGCTGTTTTATATCCCACAGCTGCACTGGTGGGAGAGATATTTCCCTAAAATCATTTTACTGGGGTGCAAAAAGTCCTGGCATTTCACACAGCAGCCAAAAAGCAGCCCAAGCCTCATCACCACGGCAAATTTACTGCAGATGCTTTGCACAGTTCAAAGAGCTGCCAAAATCAGATTTTTCCCACATTCCTTTTACCAAAAAATAATTAAAAAAATAATCAAAAATCTTCAGGTTTTTTTTTTAAGGTTGTAAGCACAATCTGCCTGCAAACTGATGGGTGTCCGGGGGTTTGACCCCCTCCCTTCCCAGCCTTTCCTCCTCGCAGCAGAGCCAGGGCTCCTCCAAGTCCAACTGTCCCATTGAAAGATTCCAAATGAGACAGAAGAGTATTCTCAGCACAGCCCCCAGCCTCCCACTCGCTAATTGGAGGACATTCCCCATTTTATGGAGCCTTGATGCTCCCCCATGGAGAACTCGGGACTGTGGGTTCCAGTCTTGGACTGTGGTGACAGCAGGAGAGTAAACAGAGCTGATAGAATTTGACAGGTCTATTCTTTCCTTAAAATCATTCAGTCTAAAAGATTTTCTTTTACATAATCCAAAGTGTTTTCTCATGAAGTAGGACAAATACTGCTCTGCATTTATGGTGCAGTTCAGATTTTATGCATTTTTATCAGAATTTGCCACTATTAAACGAGGTCAAATAATTTGTTTTAAAGCCGCGGTAAAGAAACCGCAAGTGGGTGAAAAACTTTAGAGAACTGAGTTCAAAATGTTTCACAGAGGACCCAAAGCTGGTTTTTAAAAAGAGGAAAATAAGAAAGTTATGATTTTCTTTTTGTTTTTTACTGCAGTAAGAGAAAGCCTATCTTTCTCCCCCAAAAAGCCATTTTTTTCCTGCTGCTCTGAGTTAAAGAATAGTTCTCCCCCTAAAAAGGGGGCTTTGTTAAGGTGGTGAGTTCTGCAGGGCACTGAAGATCCAGCCTCAAACCCACATCCCCACAAGTCCCTCTCACCCACACCCTTCCTTAAATCCCAAATAATTTCTTCACCGATATTTACGCAGCCGAGAAAAATGCCCAGAGCGAACAGAGCCTCGGTAAACAGCAAAAACAGAGCCACAAACCTTTTCCCCAGGGGCTGCAGGGACTGAAACAAATCCCTTGTTGAGCTGCAAGAGGCTGCACTGCAGCGTTTGCATTTTGAATAGGGAGAAGAATACCTGCAGCAGCCCCAGGAAAGGTTGCAAACCCCTCAGGCTGGGAGGAAGGAGTCTCTCAATGCTCGTTTTTTAATATAAAAAAATTAAAATTAATTTTCTTCTGGTTTGCTTTAATGTTTTGTCGCGAGGACTGGGACGTGTTGTGTGTGTTCTGTATTTCTCGGAGCTTTGCATCATGTGACAAAATGTAACCTAACATAACCCAGGGCTCTGGAACTCATGCAGAACCCCCCTGTAACCTCCAACAATGCCTTGAAATGATAAATGGAAGCACGGTGGTGCAGGTAAATTAAATTATGAAAGGCTCTTAGCAAAGCCAGGTTTGTTCCCACCCATATTAAAAGCCCTTTGACGTCTCAGTGCTTTGGAGAGCTACACAAGTGCTTGTTTTAATTAAAAACTCCTCCAAGTGTCTCTTGCACTTGTTTAGTCTCTCCATGACTTCTCCACAACAATGCAAAAATTGATCTGCAAAGGAACTTTTAAATTATTATATTTTAACGAGAATATCTTTCTGTGGCAACGCTCACACAGGGCAGAGTTCAAGAGAAGGGTCAGCCCAAGGTTTTGGAGGTATATTTATCAAATATAGATTAGTATCAAAATCAGAGAATCATAGAATGATTATGGATGTAAAAGATCTCCAAGATTATCAAGTCCAGCCTTTATCCAAATGCCACCATTGTGAATATTTAAACAGGAATATTTCTGAATAAGGAACGCGTTGTAACAGGTCACCAGCCTTAGAAATCTATTTAGAGTGGAGAAATAATTCAGATATCTTTAAAAAAAAAGAAAAAAAGAAAGAAGAAGAAGAAGAAGAAGAAGTCGATTTCTGCATGCTGAAAGGATTTTTTAGGAAACAAGGAGGAAGCAACAGGAGTTGGCAGCAGTGCCAGTGCAGCGCACACTTCTGAAGCAGATAAAACCTCACCTGTACTCCTGCGAGGGGTGGTGGTTTTGCCCTGAATTCCTAATGATTCCTGACATTATGGACGGGATATCGCTCTCTATCATCTCCTGGGGAAGCAGCAGAAGGCAGCGGTCAGCAGCAGTAGCTATCCAGCACTTCAGCAGCGGCGGGAGCCACCGACCCCGCCCGAGCCCCGGCCCCGGGCCCCGGCACAGCCCGGCCCCGGCAGCCCCAGGTGTGCTGCGGGCACTGGGAAAGGCAGGAAAACGCTTCCCGGGGGATAATCCCATCCCAGACGGGGATCCCTGAGGAAGGGACAGCCACGGGCTGAGGGTACCGGGAGCACCGAGCCAGCCGGAGCGCTCCCGCCTTGCTCCCGCTCTTATCCCCCAGACAGCATCCGTCGCGTTTGGGGTGAAAAAGCTGCGGGAGCTGCAGCGGTCCCAGCGAGCCCGGGCTGCCCGGGGATGAGGGGAACCGGGAGACCCCAGCCCTGGAGGTCCAGAGGTGGAAAAGGAAGCCGGGAGAATCCCAGACCCGCTGCCCCATGGATGGAGGGAGCCTGCTGGTTCCCAGCCCCGCGGGTGGAAGGAGACTCCGGGAGAATCCCAAAAGCGCTTCCCCAGGGATGGAGGGAGCCAGGGAAAACCCCAGCCCGGCACCCGCGGGGATGGAGCGGGCCCGGGAAGACCCCAGCCCCGCTGCCTCGGGGGTTCAGGGGGACACCGGCCCCCCAAAACCGCTACCTCGGGGATGGAAGCGCCCCAGCCCTGGTGCCTCAGGATGGAGCGAGCCCTGCGATTCCCAGCCCCGCTGCCCCGGGGATGGAGGGATGGAGGGAGCCCGGGGGTCCCCATCCCCTCTCCCCCGGGATGGAGGGATGGAGGGAGCCCGGGGGTCCCCATCCCCTCTCCCCCGGGATGGAGGGATGGAGGGAGCCCGGGGGTCCCCATCCCCGAGCCCAAAGCCCCCGCCCGGCGCTGCCGCCGCTCCGCGCACCAACCTGTCGGGCGGGGCCCCGGGGCCGCCCGGAGCTCGGCGGGCGCTCGGTGCGCGGGGCCGGCGGCGGGGCCGCGCTCCGGCCCCGGTTTAAATTTCCCTCTCCGGAGCTGTCCAGCCCCGAGCATGCGCGGCCCGGGCCGGGGTCAGCGCCGGGGCAGGGCCGGGCAGAGCCGCCCCCGCCCCCGGTGCCCCCGCCCCGCAGCACCGGCCCGGGCAGGGCGGGCAGCGCGTCCCAGCGGAGAGCAGCGAATGAAAAGGGGAGGGGGAGAGCCCAGATTAACCCAACTTTGTGCAACTTTCCGGAGGGAGGAGGGGGAGGGATCCGCCCGTTCAAACAGGCACCGGCGGGAGGAGAGCGGAGCGGGGGAGCCGGTGCGCAACGCCCCGTGCCCGGTACCGGTGCTCAGTGCCCGGTACCCGATGCCCGGTACCGGTGCTCGGTGCCCGATGCTCAGTCCCCGGTGCCCCGCTCGGCGCTGCGGGAAGCGGAGCGGAGGCAGCTGCCGGAGCCGCCTGTCCCCTCCTGTCCCCTCCTGTCCCCTCTTGTCCCCTCTTGTCCCCTCTTTCTTGTCCCCTCCCGTCCCCTCCCGCCGCCGGTGCCGGGGTGGCCGCGGGAAAGGACGCGGGAGCGGGAACGGAGCCGGGACAGCCCCGGGCAGGCAGAGCCTGTTCTGAGCCTCAGCGCTGCGGGAGGTGAGGGATGAGGATGGGAGGGATGGGGACAGGAGGGATGAGGATGGGAAGGATGAGGATGGGAGGGATGGGGACAGGAGGGATGAGGATGGGAAGGATGAGGATGGGAGGGATGGGGACAGGACGGACGAGGACGGGATGCTGAGACCCTGGCACAGGGTGCCCAGAGAAGCTGTGGCTGCCCCTGGATCCCTGGAAGTGCCCAAGGCCAGGTTGGATGGCGTTTGGAGCAATCTGGTAGAAGAAAGTGAATCATTCACTCTGAGCACCGTAATTCGGCCTCGTCTTTCGCCAGAGGCTTTTAAAGCGTGGTTGAGCCATCAGAGAGTGAAGTCTGATGATAATGACACAAATCTGGGACAGTGTTACCTCCGAGTACCAGAGAGACGTGGATCAAACATCCGAGCCAAGGCCAGACCAGCAGAGATCCAGCCCCAGAAAATATTGACTTGGACTGTCCAGGTCTTTTCTTGCAACCAGATTTTATTTCCTATAAGCCCATTATCAAAACAGGGATCAGCCTTCTCTGTCATGAAAGTGGCCTTTGAGTAGAGGCAGTTTGAGGTCTGGGATGACACCGAGCCCTTTGGGCTCTGCACAGCAAAGCTGAGATGTGGAAATCCTCCCAATATCCTTGCACAACAAAAACCCACAAGATCCCACATGATAAATGTATTTCCTTGTGCTTGCCAGTTTGCCACAGAGTATGGAGGGGATGAAATGTGAAGACAGATCCACTTTTTTTCTGCTCTTAATGAGAATCTGTTCACTTTGATGAGCATCAAATCTCTCTCTGTTAATTGCTGTCAATAGAAGTGGAGATTAATCAATACTTCTATGAATCAATGCCTTTATCAGGCACCTCTGGAGAAATGAAATAAGAGGAAAAGTCACAGTACTGGCAGAGCCTCAGGCATGGAGTTTGCACAGTCGCAAGCGTTCCGTTAATTACAGGCTGCATTAATTAATGTTGGGCTGTAACTTATTAAAAGGTCATCTCAGAGTCATCACATCCTTAAAAACTTAAAAAACACTTTAAAAAATGCGCTCCCGTGGCTGAATATTTGCAGGAGGGGCGAGGATAAAACAGAACGTTCCTTCCAGATCTCCTTGGAGCCTGCTCAAGACGTTGTGCTGAGCTTTTCCCCTGGCTGCTTTCCTTGCAGGAACACATTCCAGGCTGGTTTTCCCTCTCAGGCGATTTGCAAACCTTGGAAGGGCAGGATTGCACCAGGTGAGGAGCAGAGGGTGGCTCCTGCCCCGTTTGCTCACTGGGGGAGCTTAACCTGCAACGGGGAGGGATAAAGGGCTTGGCTCTCCAAACACCTGCAGGAGCAAGTTCCAACAAGGAAAATTCCAGTTAATTGGTGCAAGGAGCGTTTTCACAATGGGGGAAGTCTGACACTTCAATGGGAGGTTTGGAATCCCTGCCCTTGGAGGTGCTGGAGCTGGACAGGACAGAGCTCTGAGGAGCTCATGGAGTCACACAACGGTTTGGCTTGGGAGGGACCTTAAAGCTCATCTTGTTTCAGCCCCTTCCATAGCACAGGGAGCTGCTGCTGTTCCGTGTCCCACCAGGCCAGCTCCAAGCTGGAGTTCCAGAACTGCAGCCTGATGGTTGGACTTAAAAAAAAAAAAAAAAAAAAAAAAAAAAAAAAAAAAATTGGTTTTTAACTTGTTTTTGGTGTTTTCTCACCAGTTCCTGGCTGGAGAAATGATGCTGTCCATGGAATGGCATGGAAAGGAATATTGGGGTGTATTTTCTCCTGGTATCCATCAGCTCTGTTTCTTTCTGTGATTTAAAATACAAGAAAACAAGAGATGAACAATTTCTCCATTTGTATTTGTAGTTATCTTTATTTCAGTTAAGGAGCAGTTCAAATTCACCTGTCACAAGTGAAGTTATTTTTACAGTATTCCATTTATTCCTGTTATTTTTACAGGTATTTCCATTGATCCAATTTCTGTCTGATTTATTTGGTGGCATGGAAAATATATATAGTCTTTAAATTAACATTGTTCAGCAATTAACTTCTTTCTTTCTTTGGACCAACAACTTTGTAGTGAACAAATAATGTAACACAACAATAGAGGTAAAATAGGGATTTGTTTTTCAAAGGCATTCACTTTCTTGTGTGTGAATTTCTCCTAAAATATCTTTAATTTCTACAGATTTTCTTTTAAATGGTAGGAATTTCTTTTGAATGACAAACTGAATTCATTTTACTACCAGCTGAGGTCATCATAAAACAAGTTTGGTTTATTTTCCACACTCTCCACTGCTTCAGGAGAAAAGCAGGAGGGGGGAAAAAAAGCAAGAGAGAGTTGAGAAACCTTCAAAAGCAGAGATTGATGAGAACTCTGTGGAGATTTTGGTGACCTCTGTGTCAGGCTGGAAAATCAAAATATTTCTCCCACCTCAGGCAGTTTGGGACCTGTGGTTTTTGTGGTGAACCCAGAATGGCTGAAAAGCAGCTTCATGTTTATTCATCATGGTTTTTTGTGAAAGGACATCGGTGTGTCCTGACCCTGGATCTTCCTTCTCCTCACATGGCTTTTTTTTCTGATTATGGTTTTCATCCCTCTCCTCCTGAGCATCTAAAACATCTGAGGAAAAAACTGATGTGAATTCAGCTCTGAAAGCATTTAGTGCTTCTCAGAGAGGAATAATTTCCTTGCACACTTCGAACCAGCTTTGTTTTATGGGAAAGATTGGATTTTTGAGCTTTTTTGATTTTTTTTTTTATATATTCAGTTTAATTTATCCCTCCAGTCCCCTCTCTGCAGAAGTGAAATATTCACATTTCAAACTTCATCACTCAGATTCTCAGTCCCTGATGGAGATGGGAATTTGGTTACAGTTCATCCCTTTTCCAGTCCCCAGCTTTGGGGTTGTATCCTCACCCCCAGAAATAAAAAAGCAGCTCTTCCCATTACCCACAAGCTCTTTTCCCAGGATTTGTGCATTCATATGGGAATGAAAATGTGCAAATGGATTCTGTCCAAGCCACTGGAAACACAGGAAACTCTACAAGCTCCCTCCTTTTATCCCCTTGCAAAAGCACTGACCGTTTGTTTTATTTCGGGATACTGTATCCTAACAAATTATCCTTAAAAATCATTTGGTGTGAAATTGCAGATTAATCCCACCGGGATGGGGGTTTAGCCCTCGTCTGGCCACTCGGGAGCACACAGATGGTGGCTGGGAGTGTGACAAAAGGCACAATCCCTGATTACATGCATGGATGTAACGGACAGAAAGCTTTTCCTCATGGCCAAGGTGAGGAAAACACCGGAGGTCCCAGAGCCTGGCTCCTGCTGGGAGAGCTGTCCTGGAAAATCTGCCCTGGAAAAGTTTTGCAGTATCTCCCAAACAAAGAGAAACCTGCTCTGACTCCCTTTAAAATCA